TGTGTAATGCTTACTTTTAGTGCTCAGTGGGATAAATATGCCTCACTGGTGTAGAATATGGGAAACAGAGCAGGTGACTGTGAGCATGCAGACCTTTTTTAATCAATACTATTTAGAATATGAACTACATGATCCTGCTCAATTTATAGGAAAATAAATAAAGCAAAAGAGACACTCTGGACCCCAGAGGAATTCTTTTCCCAAAGCAATCAGACATCTGGAGTCTTGGTCTGATAAAAATCAATGCGTCTTTGAGGGGCAGTATATCTTCAGTTGTGGGTGAGGGGAGGAGGACATAATGAGGGGGGACTTGGTGAGGGTGGTAAGCAGATATGAAAAACATTGATGAAAAATACTGTAACATTTTCTCCTTACAATAAACTATGCCAACATACAGGCTATAGCATAATTATGTATGTATATTTATATCACTGTGATTCCAGAAATAGTAAAAAGGGAAAATTTCTGGATTAGTTGACTTATGCATAGATCAGATGCCTTCCCTTATGTGTGTTTATCCGTGCCTGTGTTCTCTGGCTCTAGTGGATAGGAAACATTTTTTTTCAATAATAAATTGTAATGAACCATGGGCACATGAGTATTTGACAAACATTATCTGACTGAATAATAAGTTCAGAAAATATTACTCTATGATGGAGACCAGTTTTTAAATGGGGGGTAGGGATGGGTTTGTTCCACTGTTATCACAGAAGGCTTGACCTTTCATGTATCGATCTCTCTGTGTCTGCATTTCCCCACTCAAAAATATTTCAGTCAGCAAGCTTTTACATCTATTTAGTAAAGGAAATGATTATCCATCATGCCTTCAAAATATACATAGTCAAAGAAATGAAAATATGCCTTGTTTCTTCTCATTCAGTATACATTATTTAGGTTAGAAGTGAGCCACTGTTTGAAATCTTACTGAGGAGTATTTAAAAATTCATCTAGTTATCATTATTATAGTTCTTGTGGAAACTCCCTCTGAAATGTTTTGAATTTCTCAAACACAAGTGATGAATTCAGACTATTCTGATCACCATAAATGAGATCACTCTCTGACAATATTGCATATTTTATTTTGTTCTAGCCAGTATTTTTCAAGAATTTGAAAACTAAATTCATGCTATAAAACTAATCCTGGATTGTCAAGCACTCTAAATGTTTAAAACAATATACACATATCTGGAAATGAGGATAGAATAAGATGGCCATGGAAGCAATTAACCATTGGGCATTTAAATTCAGACATTGGGAAACAATTACTACTGCTGAAGCTGACTTTAGAACTTATCCCATTTGAGATGCTGTGCACATACCTAAATGGGATTTGGAAGGTTGATAAAAGATTTATTGATTCCTGTTTCAGGGATTGCTGTAGACTTGCTGGTTCAACAGGCTTTCAAGCTAGGTTTGAGTTTTACATAACAACATGAACCCTGAAATCCTTTCCTGGCATTGCAACCCCAAAGTGACAAGTATAAGTGACAATAAGCCAGCAATAAGGAAGGCTCCAGACTGCATGTTGAATAGCTGCTGTGAGCTATTGCAGCTCAAGAAGAAAAGGCTTTGGGGGAGAAAAATTGGCTGTTAATTAGTCTAGATGCCAAAAATAATTCTATAAACAATAACATATACTAGTACTAGTGTGTCCTTACTTAGAAGAATCACTATCTCCAGTGATTTCCTGCTCACTGGACTTTGGTTTTCTCACTTTGTTTAGTGAGAACACAGAGATTTGGGATATTTAAGGCACTGGTGAAATGATGTGTGATCTATCAACTTAAAAACTGCTGTCTACCCAGACCTAGGGTCTGAAATTTCACTTTGATTATTGTAAATAACAATCTAAGAACTTTTGGTGGGGTTTTGGGTGGTAGAGGGGATTTCTATCCAAAGCATCCAGACTGGCAGGATAAATTATATTTCTAAGTTACGTAGTCAAAAAACAAACAAAACAAACTATGAACCACCTTAAGAAAAAAGGAAATATTAAGCAAGTCAATAGATTTGACTTGGATCATAAGATTCATCTTCATTTTAAGAATGAGGCCACTCAGTTACTCAGGAGCAGAACCCAAACTTTCCTACATTATAATCTAGCATGCCTTTCCCTTCCTCATTCTGAATGATCTAGAAAGACCCAGAAACAGTGCTAACTCAGTATCTAGTGACAGGCCATAGTAGCTTGAAGTCAGATATCAGGCACAGGTTACATTACAGGGAGGAGGTGTGATCTTTAACTTAACACAGTAGCAGGACCTTTGTGCTTTGACTTCCCTCAAGCAGCTCTCAAGTTATAGATATATTTTTAGAAAGAGAGGATCCATACCAAAAATCTGAAGAAAAATAACATTTACACTCAGTTCAGCTATACAAATAACATTAACACACAATTAAGCTATTTATGTGGAGCCCAGCCACTTAGGCTGAGAGACATCAGTGACTGCACAACACAGCCTGGATTACAACTCGCCAGCCCACTAGTCATGTCTCACAGAAACCTCTCTATGCTTTGGCTGTATTTGCAGAAGTGTTTCAGCAAGTATATGCTTCCCCCCACTGCATCAGATCCAGAAAATTTTTGCAGTAAGTTTTCTCTTTCACAGGGCCTTCCCCACTAATTATTGATCAAATGGTGGACTTCACTGTAAGATGATAAAATCTGCCTGTTTGCATCTATCCCTCTCAAATTTCAGTCTCTTAAGTATGACACTGTTTGCTTACTTGAAACACAGACGGTAACTTTTTAAAACTCATTTGCTTTGTAGCATGTCTGTGGGAAAGGATTGACACTCCATCAACTCCAGCCAGGATTTAAAAAATTTTCTTTTATGCATTTGTTAGCGTCAGGGAAAAAAAGAGTCAAAGGCAGAGTGAGACAGAGAGCCATGTGGGGCCCGATAAAGTGGTTGCTGCATGGCCATCAGGGAACAGGGAGTGTAAAAAGCTTCTTGCACACATGGCCTCATCTATAAAAAACAGAACCACTTGGCATCTCTAAGTAATAAATGGATGTAAGGGCTATAGAGAAGGTTTGTTGGCAGGAAACAGTCCCCAGGGCAATGATATTTTCAGACCATGTGCATTTCCCTATAATCCATAGATCATGGATCATACAAATCTGTTCTACCTAAGGGCTAAACCTTGCAAATTCTGGTTTGTTTGATCATCACCACTTCTGGGTAAGGGAATGATCTAAGTAGTTGAGATAAGAAAAAACTAAGTTTTGCTCCTGAAGTACAGGCCAAAGGAAAGATGTGGGAAGAAATAAGAGGAACAAGGATAGAGGAGGCATTAGAGGAAGAAATCATAGTAGAGAGTAGTAGGGAGTGTGGGCAGGTTCCTCTCTCAGCTTTCCGGAATTGCACTTTAAATGGAAAGCTCCGTTCTATACAAATAAGTAAAAATGGACATGACTGTTTGAACCTTTCTGTGCCTGAAGCTTTGGAAGCATGCATCTTGCACACAGCTGAGCTCAAAGCAAGATTCCTATAAATTCTAGCTAATTGGTTTTTGATTCCCAAACTCAAGTGCTGGCTGAATTCACTGGTGGACTAACGAATATGCAGGAAGAGGGATCTCTTAGCAGATGTTGAAGCCACAAAACTTGAGCTTAATTTTAAAACTCTGTTGTGTCATCGTGAACCAAGTGTTCTGCTTTTGTTCTCCTTTTGAAACCTGTGAAACATGGAGACAGCAGATCAACTGGATACCACAGAAACTATCTACAAAATAAGATGTTTCCATTTCCTTCCTATCTATCAGGAAGATAGATAGGAAACTGCTTTTCATGACTCACCTTTAACTACAGGTTGACCCTGTTCCCCTACCCAGATTTCAAAAAAGCAAAAAACTAAAAACAAGAAAAGTCAAACAAACAACTCTTACCTGCTAAAGACAGGAACAACAGACAAAACTTCAATATCCCTTTTCCCTTTCAAGCCGGATACCTATTAGCATTCAAAAAAAAAAAAAATCAGCCTAGGTCATAATTCCTGGCAAGATATACTTTGAGTATGAAATTGACAAATAGAGGACAGAATATTAAAGGACACTAAACCTCTAATCCCAGTGCTTTGAATCACTAACATTGTATACACCGAGATTGTGCTGCTTCAGAGTGAATGGGGGTACTTTATGGTTCTTACATTTTTGTCATTTTTGTATCTATTTTGGTGAATTATTGAATTGCTATAGCTGTTATGCATCCCTTTATATTCTTGAAAACATTTAGGACCCTACAAGAGGTAGAAAAATAATCCTCTCTTATCAAGATTAAGCTTGGATTTTCACATTTGCGCTTAAACCTTTGGATTTTCACATTTGAAGTTTTTCTAGGCTCTTCTTTCCAACACTATTCACTTTCTGTGTGCTGAAGACCACCTTTAACTCCACACAGGCCTAATCATCCCTGACAGGACACAGGCTAACTCCTGTGAATCCCTTTGCAGTGCTTAGGGCTGATCACTCTAAATTAAGAGCAGACACTATTTTTTAATCTTGGTCTTTTGCAAGATAACATTAATATGGCAAAGAACGCATTTTAAGATTTAGTGACAATGGTGTGCCCTAGGAGAATTAGCAACATGAAGTACTTTAGCAGCTACTTTTCCTCCCATTATTTTCTTTATTGTTGTTTTTTTTTTTTTTTTTTGAGCATCCGGATGCGTTCCCACCGGAACCCCGCACGAAAGTGCAATCCTCCCTTGGGGACCTCCTGTTGTCTCGCTTTACTCAGAGAGCTCAGCCTAAATGAAATATAAAAATAATAATTCTAAAGGAAAAGAAAGGCTGCTGCCTCCGGGATGGCTCCAGTGCCCAAAGTCTCTCCATGTCTCGCTCGTCTGCTGGCCTCTCCGACGCGTTCCCACCCTCGTCCCTCCACGGGATCCAGGAGTTGAATCGCAGCTCTCCAAAGCGAATTCCCCAGCTGGCAACCTGACTCCTCACCGCCATCCTTTCCCATCCTCCTAGAACGCAAATGACCACCAGGAGGCCAGGAACAAAACATTTAAATATTGCATTTATTAAGGAAATGTTAAATAAGAAAAAAGTCAAAACGGTATCACGAATGTCAAGAGCACTTTTGTAGCGTAAACCGTGCAGTCATCAGCTACAAGTTCTATTCCGGGTCTTTGCCCGGGGCCAGCTGGGGCGCGAGCCCTTTTACAAAGACCCAGTTGAAAAATGCAATAAAAGAAACAAATCATTCCCTTCACAGTCACAGGCTCCCCTCCCCCCACCCCTTCCTCACGAAGACAAAACTCCAACCCCCTGCAGGCAAACAAGCCACTAGGGCAGAAAAGGACTTATCAAATATTTGTATTCAAGCAAACAAACACAAAATCCCTTTATGTTACAATCAATCAAAGGCATTAATCGCCTCTCCCGCCCAAGCTGGGAGGCAGGCGAATGCGGGCAAGTGGGCGCTAATCCAGACACGAATTTGTGTGTTTCCATGAGGATGATTGAATGTATCCGCGGGTCACTTTTCCGCCAGGCCGCCAGGCAAGGGTGCCCATCAATGCCCCTACCCGCCGTCTCTTCCTGCCCCAGAGTTTGGCCCACCTGCGGGGGGAGAAGGGCTTTCGCTCTTGGGCTCTCCCCGCATCCACGCTAGCGGCAGCTTCCAAAGTTCTGCACCCTCGTCGCCCTCGTGCTACTTGCTTCTGCAGCAAGTCCAGTGTTAGGGCGATCTCCTCCTCAAGCCAGGCTTGGGGACTTTCAGAGAGTGAGCAAGAGAGCTTCATCCCGAAAGTCAGACGTGAAGAGAAATAACTGACTCTGACAGGTTTGCCTCGCCCAGTCTCGGATGGTGAGGGGGCGCGGCCCGGCTGGTGAAGTGGGGAGGCGTGGGGCGGCTGCCGCGGGGGCCGGAGGGCCGGTTAGTAGGGCCCCACGACCACAGCCTCCACCTCTTTTGACGGTCTCCGGTCTTTCACCAGGAAGTTGATCATACCCTCAGATTTGATAAGAAGGTTGCAGCCGAGAAAGAAGATGCCGAAGACCACCGTAAGCGAGAGCACGCACATGACAGCGATCTGCACCACGCGCATGATGTACAGGCTGCGCTCGTCAGGGCCACCCTCCTCAAAGCCGTCGTCGGTGACCACCGATGCCTGGGTGCAGCAGCGCACTGCGCGCTCCAGCGCCTCGCTGCTGTTGGCCAGGAACAGGCCCGCCACATCGGTCTGGTTGCCCAGCGCCAGATTCATCGCGGGAGCGGGCGGGCGCCCCGGGAGGCGCGGGCAGGAGCGGTGGGGAAGGCGGCGGCGGGGTAGAAACAGGTGCCCGGCTGAGCGCTCACTCGCAGACTTGCGCGCGCGTGGGGCTGCTCGCTCTCTCCTTCCAAAGTCCCGGCGTGGTGAGAGTTTCCCAAGAGCCTTTCTGACGCGTGCAGCAGCCTGTTCAGTGCGGTCTGCTCCAGTCCGGGCGGTGCTCGTTCCTGGCGCTCGCTCTACTGGGGGCTTTTAGAACTTAGCGGGGCTGGGCCAGCGAAGCCGTGGGAGGGCGGACGGCGGAGGTAGCGAGGCTGCCACGAGCAAACAGCGACCTCTCCCGGTAGCGCAGTCGCTCTGCTCCAGCTGCTGTTGGGCGTTGGGGAAGCGAAGGAGCGAGCCTCCTGGTCTTGCTCTCCTTCTTTCGCGTCTTTTCAGCTGCGAAGACTTGGCAGAGGTCACTGTACTTTCCTGGCTTGATGGATGATCAAAGACTTTCGTTTGGGGGAAGAATTGCGATCAGCTGAAAGTTTCAGAAGAACTGGGTCACGCCAGCTCTATGTGTCAGTGCCTGCCGCCCCTCTCACCTCTGGGCGGATGCAAAGTGGTGATGAATCGCAGGTGCCAGATGGTTGCTTGTAAATGCACGGCCGCCCCAGTGCCTCACTCCTTGTAGCCTGCGACTAATTTCTAGTAGAGTAGGGATGATCTGTGATTTTTTTTTAAAGCAGTGATTTTAGGGAGAAAGAAAAGCAGGGAGAGAGGGGGAATGGGAAGGTGGTACAGAAAAAAAAGGAGGGGCGGGGAGGGAGAGAAGGACCGACTGGGAGAGAGTGAGGCAGGTTTTGTAATAACTTGAAGCAAAGGGAAAGGGTTTGGGGAAGATGTTCTTCTGTGGCCTTTGTGTGGAGGTGGTTGCCAGATCAGGGTTACCTCTCTGGGAGGAAAGGAGGTGGGAAAGAGTGTCTATTGACTTGTAAGCTTAATTGCAGATCACTTTTTGGATATGCTCCCACTGTTTTGTTTTCTTTCTTTCTTTTTCTTTTTTTTTTTTTCTGGCAGTAAATCAGTTGTTTAAGGGAATTGTTCATCAACATCCCCTCCTCGAACACTGGTCATATGCTGGAAGCCTTCTGCGTTTTCCATAAACTGATATATTTCACCTTAATCATTTAAAACAAAACTACAGATGCTTTAGGGGCCAGGTTGAGGCTTCATCCCATTATGATTTTGCCATTGGTTTCAGTATATTACAAAACTATCAGATTGTGAGACTTAAACTCCATTAAAATTCCTAAATTTCTCTTTCCTACTTTCTTTCCTCGTTCCCATCCTTTCCTTGTGTTTTTCCCTCCCTTCATTTTCTCTCCGGTCTCCCTTCCTTTTGTTCTTTTAACAGCTGGAAATTAGTAACTTGAAGTCTAGTCCAAACTTGATAGAATACATTAACTAAATTTCCACTAAAACACCGTAGCTGTCTGACATTTTAATCTCTATATTTTATCCTGATTGCTTGTCACATCTTCTTATTTGGTGTTCTTAACATATTTCATGCTCAGAGGATTTCTTAAATGTTTTTGCATTACTTTGTAATCACTAGAACATAGAATGGACTGCCTTTTAGTTAAGAATTTTCAATGTCTCTATTGATTGTTGGCCCGATTCAATGAGTTTAGATCCTCCTAACTACCTATGTTATTTGGGGAGGAGGGGGTACTTACAAGCTGAAGACCTAAGCATAAGAACCTCCTGTTACAATTCACCTGGTTTATTGCTCTAGTTGGTAAGCACAATTTAAGGTCCAAGCACAGTAGGATTTGAGTGATAAAAAATTCTTAGTAATGTGAATTGAATCATCTGAATTTAAGTATACTTATCAATATTGATGCTAACAGTAGTACTGCTTTAGTGAAAAATCCGTGTTGATCAAAAGTTGGAGGTTTGATATCAGCAACCTTTTTCAGTTGGAAAGCACAATCTGAAAAGAGGTAAGGTAGTATTCTGTCTTATTTTCTCACTTTAATTAGTAATCAGCCACAAATAATGAATAAGAAGATAATGACTATTCCCATTAGCTAGTTCAGATTTCCAAGAATGTGGTTTTGTTTCCTTTGTGTTTTCCCTTCTGATTTTATTGAGTAAAATTTCTTGGAATATTTACTGAGTTACACTTATCACTCATTTGTAATTAGGCTTAAGGGGAGATGAATTGGGACCACTGAACTTTTCTACCAAAACCTTTTTTTTTTCATTTTGTTTTTTAAGTGAACATTCTTTTTTTCTACTTAGCTTTATCCTCTTAGTCTCCTGTGTCTTAGGACAATCTTAATATCTATGAAAAGAGAAAAAGAATCATTTGAGAACAGAAGGAAGCAGAATGGTCTTTGGAGATGGATGCTAGGTAATTTGGTGGTGGCTGTATTATGATGGTAGCACCTGAAGGGGGTGTCATATATTACCTCAATTAAAAATTAATAAATTTTAAAAAACAAGAACTATAGATATAGAAATATACACAGTTTCAATACTCCTCTTTATCTGTTTATCTGGATGATATAGCATTAGTATCTATATGTCCATTGTAAAGGAGAAAGGCCACCGTAAGGGGGAGCACCAAAAAGAAACAAAATATATCATTAATATATATCTACAAATAATGTAGAACAGGTGGCATAGTTTTAATTTACTTTAAATTAAAAAAATAATGTCAAAGAATTCATAGCTTTATTTAATTACTGACTCCCTGCATCACTGAAAAAGTCACTTAATTTTCAAAATGTTAAATGCTCAACATTTCATGATATACATGTTACACAAGGAAAGACATACTTGTTTGTTCTTTCCACAAAGTAAATCTATGAAATATAAATTCTACATAGATGTTCCAGGCAGCTATTTGTGGTAAGTTGAGCAATAGTTTCAATAGTCCTGAGGTAGGATCATGCACTTTCAATAACAAAATGATTTTTCTTGCTTCTCTCTTTATGTGTATTATGAAAATGTTAAATAGATATTTTAAAAGGAGAATACAGTTTTAATCCTCTGCTTTATCTGTCTAGATGATGTGACATTAGTAACTCTGTCTATTGGTAAGAAGAAATTTCTAGAGATTAGATCTAACAACTACAGGGGAGAAAACCAGAAGGAAAAACAAAATATGTCATTAAACAGCTTATATAATTTTCTGGGTTTAACTATTAGTTTGGAGACATTTAATACAGAGGCAAGAATTCTTAGATGGTGAAGAGTCTAGTAAAATAACATCTTGGATTTTGAATCCTGCTGTCTTCACTTATCGGCTGTGTGATCTTGGAAATGTTTCTTCACTTCTGTTACCTCATTTATTTCCCTGTGAAATGGAGATTTCACAGGATTTTGAAAAGATGGCCTATTTATGGAAATAAGTGACATTAGTGTCTAGGTCATAGCAAGATCTCAATTTAAACTGTTACAATAGTTACTGAGGACACATAAAAGTATATAAATTATAATAGGAAAGAAGTTAAGATTTATTCAATATTTTCAATTTAGGGAGGCTAGCAAGTGAATCAAATAGTTTGGAAAGATTATCATTTGAAGTAATTGAGCCAGTTAAGTAAAAAATTCTAAGGATATAGAAAAAAATAGAACCCGCATACATTGTTGTGGACTATAGTTTGGTATAGCCTCTGCAAAAGCAGTAGGGTGGCACCTCAAAAACTTGTACATAGCATTGCCATTTGATCCAGGATTCCACAGTTAGGTATATACTTTGAACAGGTATTTGTATGCCAATATTCATCACAGCATTATTTACAATATTCCAAAAGTGGAAACAATATAAATATTCATTAGAAGATGAAGGGGTAAATGAAGTGTGTGTGTGTGTGTGTATAAGTGTGTGTGTGTATGTGTGTGTGTAAGAGAGAGACAGAGATTTTTTAAAGGGAGAATTCTGAATACACTATAACATGATAAACTTTAAAGGCTTCATGGTAAGTGAAATAAGACAGAAACAGGACAAATATTACAAATATTACTACTCTCCATACGTAGAGTAGTCAAATTCATAGAAACTGGAGGAATAGTGGTCATGGAGGGCTAGGTCACCAGAGGCTGGGGTGGAATTAATCACTGTTTAAAGGGTACAGAGTTTCAGTTGGGAGTGATGAATACATTTTGGACATGGATGTTTGGAAATGAACATTGGTGATGATTGAATAACAATATGGATATACTTAATGCTACTGAATCATACACTTGAAAATTGTCAATGTGTTAGTTTATGTTTTCTGTATATTTTTGTAATAAAAATCCTAAAATATTTATATTTAGACCTAAGAAATATTAAATTTTTGAAATTTAGAAAATAAATAAGAGAGGTATTTAGAAAATACCTCTCTTTCTGTACCTCAAAGGTAACACTCTTAGTAACCTAGTGTAGTGTCTTCCTATCTTTTTTCTGTGCTTACTTTAACTTTATCTTGATCTTGTAGTAAATATAAATTTATACCTTACTTTGTTCCCTCAAGCTTGTATTTTCTTATGACATTAAAAAACTTCTTACAAACAGGTTCTAATGTGTATGCAGCACTTCAGTATGTGAACAGACCATTGTTTACTAATCACTACAGTAGCAGTGGGCACTTATATTGCTCTCAATCATCGTTGAATCAGTTACACACAAAGAACATTTTTTAAAAATATTTATTTATGCTTATAGAACTGGGGTACATGTCATAGGTATAGGGGCAGTGAGAGGATTCATCCAGACAGAGTGGGGAGCAGAACAGGCAGATTAACAAAGTACACTGCTGAGAGGAGCAGTGGGTGGGTCAGGAGCGGTCTGCCATGCCATGTGGGTCAGCTCCCTGTCCTGGGATCGAACTGGTGCTGCAATGGTTTCATAATGTGCTGCCTTAACCAATTGCACCACCAGGAAGAGCCCACAAAAACATTTTTATGCAAAAGTTTTCTATGTTTAGATTTTATTAATGGGATAAATTTTAAAACTTGCATTTTTAATAAAAACATTACCACTTTTATAAATAAACAGACAAATTATAAAGTGGTTATTTCAATCTTTATTCTTGTAAGGCATGCAAATATCCATTTTATATACTCTAGAGAAAATGGATTCTACTCTGGGATGGGTCCTCAAATTTTAATTTCTATCCAGTTTTCCAGAAAATGCTATTCCTTAGGAACAAGTGTTATGATTTTAGAAATTACCATTAAAAGTTTAATAAGAAACATTGGTACTTGCTTGAGGTTGCATATTA